GGTGTTCTTATTAATGATCATTATTTAGATCTTCTTGAAATTTAGTTTAAAGCCGTATTTGTTGCATGTTTTTACAACGTTATCCATCATTCTTTGAAGCCCCTGCGCACTATCTGCTACACTGTATCGTCTGCATATCTAATATTGTTTATAAGTTGACCATTCACACCGTTCCCATCTTCTGATTCGTCCAGGGTATCTGTAAAGATGTTTTCAGAGTATATGTTAAATAAGGCCGTTGACAATATGCAACCCTAACTCCTTTTTTGACTGTAAAGATCTCGGACAGCTCATTTTCTAATCGCACTGTTGCTTTTTGTTGGAAATATAAGTTTGAGATAAGTCTTATATCGTTAACATCGAGTCCTGATGTTTTTAGGATATCGATTAGTTTCCCATGTGGGACTTTATCAAATGCTTTCTCAAAATCAATGAAACATGCATGCACATCGCAGTTGACATCCCTTGCACTTTGTATTAGAACTTGCAAACTAAAAAATGCTTCCGTCGTTCCCTGTTGTTAATTAAAATTAAACTTCATTCAGATTTTCTTCTAATTTGGTGTATATGCACGAGTGAATAATAGTAATGAGTATTTTAAGTACATGGCTTACCAAACTAATTAATCTATGTTCTTTACATTTTCTAGCGCTGGTGTGCCTCTAATAGCTTTAAAATTCCACCATGCACCTCACCAGGTCCTGGTGATTTCCCATCTTTAATCAGCTTAATGGCCATAGTTACTTCTTCGTTTGTTATTTCTGAGCGGTAGAGATTATGTATTTCACGTCGGACTTCGTGCTGCATATTCGACTAGTTCTTGCATATATTCTTTTGAGCTTTGTAATTGATCTTTAATGGTAGTCAAAGTTGGGCCTTCAATGTCTACAACTATGCCCGTATTGCGTTGTTTTCTAGTGTTCTATACTTCTTTTTTTTTTGTGCATATAGAAATCGTCATGTTTGCGTTGTAGTGTTTCAACTTCCGTAAATTTTTCCATCAGCCATGCTTCTTTTGCTCTTTTAATATCCTTTACTGTAGTCTTATGCAACTTTTTGTATTCGTTGTCATTTTTACCTTTTAATTTTCTTCACTTTTCCACCATCTGCAATATTTTATCTGTCATCCATTCTTGCTTCTCTTCTCTTTTTGATTTTATATTTTTATAAGAAATTATGGTAATAGATGTCTTCATTTCGTTCCAGTGTTCTTCTATGCCTCTAGTAGGGTCTTTAACTATTTTCGCAAAATTCTTATTATATATAATTGATCTCTGTTTTTACTTTAGTAGTCTTATATCTATCTTGGGCCTCATTTTCTTGAAAATTATTTTGTAGCCGTATGTTGATATTTTTAACCAATAGACTATAATCTGAGAAGACATCTGCGCCTGGATATGTTTTTGTTGAGGTGATAGAATTTCTAAACCTTTTGGTTATGTTGATAAAATCAATTTGGTTTCTTATGATATTCCCTGAGGTATCACCGCGTACGTTCCATGTATATAAGTTCTTAGGTGTAACTTAAAAAGTTTATTCGTTACAACCATATCCGTCTCTTTCATTGAAATCACCCAAGGTAATAATAAGTTCATGTTTTTTGGTTATTTTTAGAGTCTTCTAGAGTCTGATAGAAATTTTCTATTTCTTCTTCAGTGGATTCTGATGTCGGTGTGTATTAGAGTAATATTAGAGATACCTAACTTAATTTCCAATAGCACAACTACTATGTCTGATATGAGCGTAAATCCTATTATTGCATTAGCTATTTCCCCTTTTACTATTATCGCTACACCATTTTTGTATCTTGTTATGTTGTCTCCAGAATAATAGATATGTTGTTCATCTATAATTTTTATACCAGAATTTGTCCATCGAACTTCACTGCATTCTAAAATATCTATGTTCATGAGTAATTTCTTAAATACTATTTGCTGCGTTGCCTGGTTTGTACATGTTTTGGATTTTCAGCCATTGTGGTATCCTGTGAATATCATTAGGGATCTTTTATGTGGTAGTCAACCCATGGTTTTTCACATCTCAAAGCTGTTAGCTAATGTAGCTCTTTTGCCTTTGGAGACAATTTCTCAGCATTAGGGCAATGAAATGCCCTACTACATGTCAGTTCTTCCACCCGTAGCTTTTGTCCAACAAAGGGGGGATTACTTTTACCAGTAATCGTTTGGTTACTTCGCAGAAATTTACACCGGCACCATTAATTGATACATTGTTGTAAATAATGAACCATAGAAAAATGGGCGTCTTTCGTTAAAATTGCAAATCGCTTGGGTACTTATACACCTACGCGTCGCGTAAATAATTGTAAAAAAACAATTCTTAACCGCCGTTCGATAAGAAAACCGTCGTTAGATATTACAGCTACACACAAGCTACAAGAAAAATACTAAACCACTAAAGAATAACTAACACACTATTTTATTAATTATTGTCAGATCTCTAAAAAAATATAACTGAGGGGAAAAGCATATAGGGGACCAGAATGTCGCCCTCCGACAATTAACCTGTTCCTAATTGTTGAAATTCATATCATGAACATATTTAGTCAGTTCTCAGGTATAAGGTAGATTTGTATTTTTCTTCTTGTCGTCCCCATTAACTGAGGTTGATGACACATTTTTAAAAATGTCTCTGTCTTTCAAAACGTGGAATAATTTATCTACAGTCATATTTGTCCAGTCTTGTATATTTCGCAGCAATGACTTCCTCCTTCTACCTATTCCTTTTTTGCCATCGACTCTACGCTGCATGATGACCTGCAGAAGACTGTATTTATCATTTCCAGTATGTGTCCAAGGTATGCAGTCTTGCGTACTTTTATTGTTCTCAACATTTTTTTGTTTCGACCCATCCTTTTCAGCACTTCGTCATTGTTGACCCAGGTAGTCCATCAAATTCTCAACATTCTCCAATATATCCAAAGTTCAAAGGCTTCAAGGTTCTTTACTTTTTGTGCTTTTAACGTCTATATTTCTACCTCGTACAATAGTTGGGACCAGACGTAACATTCAACAAACCTTAGTCTTAGCGCAGTATTCAGGTTTTTGTCGCAGAACAATTGCTTGCATTTTAAGAACGCTGCCCTTGCCATTTCTATTCGTACCCTGATCTCTTGGTCTGGATCCAATTCTGTGTTGACGTAAGCTCCCAGATATTTATATTTTGTCACTCTGTCTATTTGCTGTCCACCGAGGGTTAGTTGTTAATTATTTATTGGACTCCTTGATACTATCTTAAATTTAAATAGGCATTAAATAAATTTCTGACTTGAATTATTTGACTAGCATTTTGTCTCGTCCTGTCAAACATTAAGAATTACATTACACAAAGTTCTGAGTTAAATATTTTTTAAATTTTCGAATATATTATCTAGAAATTCGTAAGAGGTTTGGATACACAATAAGCATGACGACACATGACAAATATTGATTTTTAAATTTTTGGCG